GTCTTTCCCATACTCTTTCATTATACGAATGGGCTCCATGGCATAGCTATCTGGGGTATCACTGCTCAAACAGGGCAAGCACCAAATGACCCGGCTTTCATGTCTTTGCAGGGGAAAATCAAGCCTTTTAACATGGGGCCATAATCCAAAGGCAACAGGCGAGCCACCAGGCTTCTCCAATGCAATGTGGCGAGATTGGTCTCGTCACAGCAATTATTGCAGTTTATAAAAAACTGCAATAATTACACTTGCATGGTAGTGGGAGTTGGCACCCAGACCACTCTAATGGGCAGAAGTTGTCTGGGTGCCTGGAGTGTCCCTTTAAGCACAAATCTAACTTATTGAGACTGCTATTTTGTATCATAGTAGGCTTTTTCATTTACAGTCAATTAGGCTATCTTTTTACTAGTCTCAGGCAAACTTGGTGGGTGGCTCTCTCCACCCATGCATACTTTTTAACTATTTATCTCCAAGGTTTTTCTCCCCTCATTTATACTTGTTTCTATTAAAAGTTACGTTTTAATACATTCATTGAAGTTGCACTTGTTTCGTTATATACTTCCCGCCGCTCCCTCTTTTTTCGGTTAAATTTCCCTTTCTCCGGAACTAGTAGGAAAACCCACTCTTGAGGATATTTTATCATAATCCTATTTTCTCCTGCTCTCCCATTGCCTTTTGTACAAAAATTGGCTCATTTAATTGGACAGGGAATGGTGAAACTGGATTGGGCAAGCATTACATTGCTCAAAAGGAATTATCTTATTGATCAAGATTTCTGTCATCATTCACATAATTTTCCCTCCCTTTCTCTTGTTTTGCCATTTTTAAGAAATCCGAATTACTTTGGCACATCTGCGCTTCAGAGCTTTGGAGCTTCGGCACTTCCGAATTACCGAACTTCTTCACCTCAGACATTCGTATGCATCCAAATGTACAAATGGCATCAAATTCGTACTAATGTACATTAGGAAGGAAACAAATTGCACATGTCTATTTAGATTATGGGTTGGATTAGGGTAGAATTATAGATAGGATAAAGTTAGATTATGGGTAGAATTAGATGTTGAATTATGGACAATATTGAAGGTTGTAGTAGGAGAAGGCAAAGGGTAAAAGATATACATGCAGGTTATAATTGTATTCGAGAACAGTAGCAGAATACACATGTTATTTTTTTATTTTATTTATAAATTCTTTATTTTGAGAGTTAGTTTTGTTGGGGTGAGGGTACAGAAAAAAAACAAGGGGATAAGGTAAATGGTACAGATTACGTTGAGTGCACAGTTTCAGTTTATAATATTCAGATATTCAGAGCAGGTATACAGTTTTCTTTCCTTGGTACCTTGTATATTGTTTATTTGTATAGTATTACTCTTTACATCTGTCACTATTCTGGGTCTAAGGGTTGGGGAGGGGTACAGAATAGAAAAGGGAGGGGAATGGGGTGCACTATCGTCTGCCGTACCCTCTCTTTCCCTAGAATTCTTAATTATTTTTATTATATTTTCCGTCCTTGTCAGGGTGAGGTATAGGTGTAACGGCTACCCTGCTCTAGGGGGAGTATCTGCTGTTGGAGACGTCCTTTTCTAGGCAAGCTGCTGTGAAGTAATGGAGTTCTTATTCCCATCCACGATATCCAAGTGTAGAATCCGGCAGTGCTGTAAAATGAGGCAGAGTAACAGTACCATAAATCCCCTCCAAGAACGAGACGAGGCTACGTTTTAAAGGGTCAAGTAGAACTGATGTTTATTGACAGGGGTCTCCTTTTATGCAATAGTGCCCTCTGAAAGGCTACACCCACATAATTATCACAACAGCCAATTAGATACATGGTTCAACCCCCACGTCTCCTCCCCTCAGATAACATATAACATAATTAAAACAGGCACAATTTTAACTACATTCTGGATGTACCCCAAAAACACCGCTTAGTAACTCTCACTCAGGGGAACAATATATCCAAATTTCAGCCCATTCGGTTGAGGGGTTCGGGAGTTATGGATCTTTGAAGTTTTGACCGACCGCACAGGTTTTCTAGCCGAAAAGAGTTCCGCAAGTTTTGGCCTTGCGGTCGTCTCCGTTCGTGCATTAAAACCCCACGAACCCCTTGCCATCCACAGTCATCCTGGTGTTTGCTTGAATCCCTATGAAGGCTTAAACAAAACTACCGAACGGCCGGTCGTTCGGTATTTCCAGCACAAACTTATGAGCTCCTGGAGGTCTCAGCGGTGTTCGCCTGTTTGTGTATCCGTTTTTAGTTCCATGCGTTCACAGGCAAACACTGCCATTCGTGCGTAAGATGGCCGCGAACACGTGTAAAGTCCCGAAATGGCGGCCATCTAACCTGAGCACAAAGGAATTCGAATGAACCATGCGAACGGCTCCACAATCACTGGGAGGTAAAATATCAATTAACTGTTCCCCTGGGCGGCCTGATGTTCGGTATTTTGGGCTGTATGTTATAGTAGGAATATTTACATGAAAACTAGCCATTCAGTTTTTGTTTGACACATCCAGCAGCGTTGTTATTTAAGTCCAGGCAAAAGTATAGGCACAATCATAGTTCTGTTACAATAGGGTACTGAATGAAGGTGGATTAAGGTGGTCATCATATCAGATATGCACAGTTTTGTTGCAGTTTATCTATACCAGTATGGTTTGTAGCGAGATCTCATTTCAGTACTCTGAGTTGTGTATCGCGGTTTTCGTTTGGGTTCGTCTCGCTCGGAGGAGTTTGCGTAGTTTTGGGTCTTATTTGTCATTGCCTTTGGTGTATGGTTTCCCGGGTGTTGCTTCAGTCTGATTTGCGTCTCCTTTGGTGATGTGTGGGTTTGGGGTTTGGTTTGGGGTATGTGGTTCGTGGGGTGGCGTGGTCAATGAGAGATTATGGTTAGTCCTGGCTTGTATTTGGTAACCTTTCTCAGTCTTATTTTGTATGGTATATTATGTCTGGTGGAGGTCATGTCTTCTTCATGTGCTTGGGGTTTATTTGTGCCTGATTCCGGAGTTAATGGTCGCTTTATCGTCGGGTTATCTCTTCGTTCGTATCGTAGTGCCTGTTTGTGTGGAGTTGGTATAGGAGGGGTTTCTGTGTGGGGGTGCATGGGTTGGGGTGGTGCGTGAGAGGCCCTGTTGTGCTGCCGGGGCAGGTTCTGTGGGGGGGATTATGTCCCTCCTCACTCCCCGGGTCCTCCCTTCAGGATATTGTCAGGGAGGACCCGGGGAACCATTGTTTTTTTTTTTTTTTTTCATCCATTAGTCGTAAATATATGTATTTATTTAGAGATTAATATGAGATTAAACCAAGATCTTGCAAGACTATGTATAATAATATTTTTCAGAACATCATAAAAGCATTGCCACTTTAAGCACACAAGCACCAAGTCACTTATGAGCTGAGTTTACATTAAAAGTAATTGTACACTGTCACTTTACAAATCTAAGGAAATAAGGGTATAATGTATATATATCTCCATGGTAAAATTCTGTTTCACATGATCCATTAACATTACTTTCTCTTTCTTCTTCTTTCTTTTTCGTCCCTTTCTCTTTTTTTTTTTGTTTAAAATTGAAGCCCTGTGTAAAACAGCCTTTTTGAGCCAAACAATTGCATTCCTAAATACTGATTAGGTTATGTTTAGAATCATGCACTGCCACTTTAAGAACTTAGCTATCCAATTGTTAATTTTAAAGCTAAGTGTTTTGCCACCTCAAAGAGTCTGTTTATATATCCATTTATCTTGTTGTTTACCCAGGTATATTTACATTTATAATGGTCAATTAGTATACAGTGATTATCATATTTATATGTTAGTGAACTTATTATGTAATCATTAGCCCGAGAGGAATATCCATCGAAAGAGTATTCCACAATGCAAATTAGATATCACGTGCACGAAACGCTATACACGTGATGACTCACATGACCAAAGCCAGGAAGTAAACACAGATCGGAGAATGGAACGCAATATGCGTTCCACCTACGAAAAGACCGCCCCACGTGATTGTCCGCATCCACAGAACCCGGAAGTAACCAACGATCAGGAAGATGGAACGCAAGGTGCGTTCCACGTTGAAAAAGACCGCGAAACCAACGTTTAAAGGCAGAGAAGGACTCAGAGACTAGTACACAGCCAACTGAGGAAGCCCAAGAGGCGAAACGCGTTTTGGCTGTTATTTCATACTTATCTTTCCTATATATTTTATATGTATTAATAAATTATATTTTACTTTACATCTAATTGAATCCCTTGCTGTTTATGGTGGAACAAGAAAGTATCCTTGGACATCCAGAACATGTTTTGGAGGAGGAGAGGCTCAAGTGAGAGGGCGAATAGGAGCAGGGAGAGTGGGCAACCTTGTCTAGTCCCATTTTTGATTGTGACTTCTGGGTGTTTGGCGTTGGAGGTGAGGAGTGCGGCCCTGGGTTGGTTGGATAGGGCTCTAAGGACTTCGATGATGGGTGTTGGGAATTTGAATTTCTGGAGGGTGGCAAACATAAACGGCCAGAGTAGGCAATCAAATGCCTTTTCGGCATCCATTGATAGGAGGAGGGTTGGGGTTTGTCTCCTGTGGGTTACCCAGATTAGGTCTAGTGTCCGTCTCATATTATCCACTGCTTGTCTTGTGGTGATGAAGCCGACCTGGTCTGGGTGAATTAGTTTCGGTAGGAGTGGTTGGATTCGGTTGGCGAGGGTTTTTGTAAAAATGTTGGTGTCCACGTTGAGTAGAGAGATTGTTCTAAAGTGTCCTGGGTCTAGGTGTGTTTTGTCAGGTTTCAGTATGAGGCAGATGTTTTTCCTGAGCATTTCCCCTGGGAGAGGGTCCCCTTTGAGTAGTGAATTCACTAAAGCTGTCAGGTGTGGTATTAGTGTGGTTGCATATGTCTTATAGTAGAGGCCTGGGAATCCGTCATAACCCGGACTTTTTTAAGGCTTGATTGTTTTCAGTGTATTCGCTATTTCTTCCGTCGTGATAGGGGCTGCTAGTGTTTATATCACCGTGTCTGTTAGTGATGGGAGGGGGGTGTTCCAGAGGTATATTTCAATGTCTTGTTTTAGGGTTGGCGAGGGGGCAGGGTTGTGGTTATAGAGTGAGGTGAAGTATTGGGAGAAGATCAATGCTATGCGGTCCGGTTTGTCATGTGTGCTTCCGCCCGGGGAGTTTATCTGGTTGATGTGCTTAGTTTGTGGTGTTTGGTGTAAGTTGCGGGCTAAGAGGGTGTCCGCCTTATTTGATTTCTCGTAGAAGAGCCGTTTGCGCCATTGGAGGGCTTTTTGTGAGTCCTTAGCCATATAGAATTTAATGGCTTGTTGGTGGGTTTTGATTTGAGCCAATAGTGTTGGGGTGGGGTGTTGTTTATGCTGGGTTTCTAGGGCCCTCAGCGAGAGGAGGTGATCCTCTAATTCTTTTAGTTTTTGTTTCTTAAGTCTTCTGGCTTCTGCTATTAATTTGCCTCTTATGACCACCTTGTGCGCTGCCCACAGTATGCCTGTGGATTCTCACGAGTCTGTGTTTAAATTGAAGTATTCGGTGAGTGATGTTTGTATGGATGCTCTTATCTCCGGATTTTGCCACAGGGTTGGGTTTAGTCGCCATGACCATGTTCTCGCTGTTTGTGGTATTGAAAGTGTAAGGGATATCCCTGCGTGGTCAGATTATTGTGAAGTGCACTGGAAAATAACAATATAACATATATACAAGAAAACTTTTAACATTGGTAGGTATTAATGAGTTCAAACTTTGTTAAAACTTCTGTTGTTTTTCGTATGTTTGACAGTTAAGGCTTAGTGGTGAGGACTGCCCAGTGTAGATTGTGTCTTTCCTATTGCTTTTATTTATTTCTTCCCCTGTCCATATTGACTTGAAATTGCAGTCACCTTTTTCCCCCCCTTCCCTCCCCCCTTCCCCGTCCTGTCTGTCCCGTTCTTTTTCTCTGCCTCTGTGTGAGGGTGGGGTCTAAGGTCATTGGAGTCCAGTGTGTCCTGTTGTGTTGGGGCCCAGTCGAAGTGTGGGGTGTAGTGTGGAGCCTCCGTGTAGCCTGTGGGGCATGTATTAGTCTTTCTATCGGGGCCTGTGTGGGTCATATGTGTACCAATGTCCGCTGTTTGGACAGTCTGGGAGATGGTTCCCCTTCCCCCCAGTCTGTTCTCCCTCCCTCCCCTCCCTCTTTCACCCCTTTACCCTTGTGGGTTCAGAGCGTTCATTTGACATGATTTGAGGGTATAGTCCAGATAGATCATGTGTGTCTGTCATTTCTGTTTTCTTCTAGGGTGGTCTCGGTGTGGGAGGTTTCGGTTGTTGCTGCTTGGGTGAGCTTGTCCATTTTAGGTCAGTGGAAAATTTTGGGGGTCGGCTCTGGGGTGGGTGGTGACCGGTTGGATTAGGGTCGTTGATGCCTTCCTTGTGTGTGTCGCTGGTTGCCACTTGCCGGTATGTGTTGGAGCTTTCCTAAACATGTATACATTATAGGATGCTGTTGGGGCCAAAATATACAAAATATAGAATCCAGCGCACTCGCTTATTCACTAAACAATGATATCAAATCTCAGTATTTCCCAAGTAAGTGGATTAATCTCATAAGAGCAAGCATTAGGCTGTTACAAGGATAGGACCTGCTGAATATGGGGTACTTTGACGTAGTTGGCAGGCTTATGCAATGTATGATCATATAATTTAACTAACCCCCATCATTTTTTGCCTAGGTGAGGTGTTTTTAAATAAAACTATTACAATCTCTGAGATTTGAAATCATTGTTTAGTGAATAAACGAGTGTGCTGCATTCTGTATTTTGTATATTTTGGCCCCAGCAGCACTCTATAATGTATGCATGTTCAGGTGAGTGCAGCCCTCTTGGTTTCCTTTTTATATTTGGGAGTCCCAGGCCAACTCCTTGGTTTTGCACCCCTCGCTGTTATAGGTGCCTCATTCCAGGACCCTATTTAGCCTTGACTTGCAGAGAGTCCCAGTAAGGAAGTATTTCCCAAGTAAGTGGATTAATCTCATAAGAGCAAGCTTTAGGCTGTTAATAGGATAGGACCTGCCGAATATGGGGTACTTTAACGTAGTTGGCAGGCTTATGCAATGTATGATCATATAAAGTAACTAAACCCCCAAATTTTTTTTGCCTAGGTGAGGTGTTTTTAAATAAAACTATTACAATCTCTGAGATTTGAAATCATTGTTTAGTGAATAAGCGAGTGTGCTGGATTCTCCTTAGTTTTGCACCCCTCCCTGTCACAGGTGCCTCATCCCAGGACCCTATTTATCCTTGTACTGCAGAGAACTTGAGATGGAATTTTTCCCCCAAGTAAGTAACTAATTTATCGGGTACATTGACGTTGTGGCAGGCTTATGCAATGTATGATTATATAATGTAACTAAACCCTCATTATATTTTGCCTAGATTAGGTGTTTAAAAAAAAAAAAAAATAACATCTGTCAGTACCAAAGTTGCTGTTTAGTAGATAAGGGAGTGCACAGGAATTTCATTTTTATCATATATATATATTATAAATGACCATGAAAAGAAAATTACGGTAAGTGGGAATAAATTTTCTTCTTTCCTGGCCATATCCATGGCAGCACAGCAATGGGTAATACCCAAGCAATTACCAAGGGAGGGAAAGAAAAACACAGAAACTGTGAAATCCAATGCAAAAGTGTATTATCACAACAACCAAAACGTGAACAAAAACACATCAATATTTTCAAATAACAGATGCTGAAAGAACACTCTTCCCAAACTGGTCAAACTTTCCGGCTTTAACATCTAATTGGTAATGTCTTATGAATGTATTGGATGAAGACCAAGTAGCTGCTTTACAAATCAGTTCTGCAGATACTTTGGCCACCGCTACCCAAGAAGAGGAGAGGGACCTAGTGGAATGGGCTTTCAGTCCCTCTGGCACTGGAGGCCTGATATGCTTTGATGATGGCTGCAATTATCCATCTGCTAACGGTTGGTTTAGATGCCATACAACCTCTCTTAGCTCTGCTAGGAATAACAAAGAGTCTTTGAGTGGAGCGCCAGGAAGCAGTTCTATTTACATAAATTTGAGCTCCTGACAATCCGCACAGAATCCAGCACACATTATAAGCATTAAAAACCCAAAAAGCATTCACCTCCATCAAAGAATGTCTGGGACCAATTTAGGAATGAAACAGCTGCGCAAGAAGCTTGGTCACCGGCAGGAATCACATCCTAGCATGCTGGAACTGTTGGCAGCTCCCCGCCCGCTCCAGGCCTCACAAGATGGCCGACTGGATAGCCCACGTGGCTCTCTATTCCCAGTGTCAATGGCAGACATCCACATGGGGGAGGCAACCCAAATTCTCCAAAAGCTCACGGAGGTGAAGACCTACCTCCCAAGTGAGATCTCCCGCCACTCAAGAGAAGTGAAGGCAGAGATACAGGCCCTAGGGACCCGCACATCCCAACTGGAGCACAAGGTGGAATCAGTGGTACAAGTGCAGAATACAGCAATATCACATGCAGAACTCATGGCCCAGCAGATAGACCAACTAAAGATGCAGGTCAAGGATTTATCGAACCACTCCAGGTGGAACAATCTGCACGTCCGGGATAGTCACCAATGAGGGGCTGTTATCCCAGAAGATAGAGGAATATTTTAAACACATACTATATGACATCTGTGAAGACAGATGGGCGGTTGACAGGGCCCATTGAGCTCTAAGGGCCAGGAGACAGGAGAGTGCATTGCCCCGTGATATAATCATCCATTTCAACTACTACTCCACAAAAGAAGCCATAGTCAAATACAATAGAGACAATGTCCTAGAATACAAAGACGCAGAACTTGCTATATATCAAGACCTCTCTCCAACGACCCTACAATGTCCCAAAATTGGAAGCCACTGGCGGACCAAACATGAGGTAAGATATACCTGGGGACACCCCTTCAAACTTGTGGCCTTTCGGGCAGGCAAAACTCACACCTTTCTGCCAGGAGGTGACCCAGCACTATTCTTGAAAAACCTGGTCATTGAAGTGCCTTTGGATCTCACCCAGCATTGGTGCCCCTCACCAAAGAATGGCAATTGGCTGGGGCCAGTGAGAGATGAATCACCTAAACACACAGCCGCAACTCCTTTCACCACCACCTATATAGGTTGTGTGGTATTCTGTGATGCCACCATAATGGACCTCAGCTTAGTGGCTATCCATCTGGGGGGGACTGCGGAGGTAGGGTGCGGGAGTAAGGTGGATCATAGGTTTATTACAGAACCAAAGGCAGAGGCATGTTGTTTTCACTAGTCTACTTTGGGTATTAACTACGCTGCCTGTTTATCTAATGTATGCATATAGCTTTCATGACATCATATGTTGACCGATACCGGTTGCGACAAACTGGGACTTGTCACGTGTTCTTGGAACAGCCTGCTGGCCAGCCTCTTACCTCAGGACTATGGGCCAGGCCAGTGACTGTAAAGACCCATATTTTCTTCCCTCTGGTTCGGCACTTTCCACTTTTGTAGCACAGCGGATCAGGGCTGGGAGCCACCTTCTTCAGCCAGAACTTTGGTATCTCCGGACGGGGGAGGCTCACACCCCCTAAGCTGCTCTGGCAATTCATAAGACCAGACTGTATGGATTGATTTTTGTAACGAAATCCCTTATCAAACAGACCATGCGAACCAGCCTGTTCGGTTATTTGGATGATTACAGCGGGATTTCGTGCAAATAGCGAGAAAAGCGAATGAACTACTGAACCACCCGACCTCCCACTGAGGTCGTGTGTCGCCTATTAACCACCCAGACTGTTGCGGTTAACCACAGACTAATTTGGGAATAGCTGGTGGTCCGCATTCGTTTACCGAACACGTGGCAATCGCCATTTTGTATTGTTACATTATGTTCTGTAGTTGATTACGACCCATGGCACAGGGGAACTGGGGAGATAGTGGGGATGGCAGGGTCCCAAGGCTGTTTGACCGGACGCAGAGGTCAATGCTTCATAAGGGTCTCACAACTGGGGCACAGCACACAACTCACTCCGAGATGGCTTTGAAGGTTATATATTTTAATGTAGAGGGGTTGAACTCCCCCAACAAGCGTAGACTACTTTTGGAGGGAACTTAGATCCAAAAAAGCAGATATTGCCCTTATCCAGGAGACGCATCTCCCTAAGCTAGCACAGGTCAAAATGCAAGATAGGCAATACTCCACGGTATATGAGGCCAGGGAGTGGGATTCCTCATACACAAGCACTGTCCCTTACTTGTGACGGGGTCACAGGTAGACCCAGAGGGATGATATATATATATCCGTAAAGGGGACCTTATGCAATATAAAAATTTTCATAATTAATGTATATGCGCCAAACAACCCAGACCCCCAATACTGGGATAACCTGACTACACTATTTAGCTCAGAAGGGGGATGGAGTGCGTTGAAGTAGGGGGAGACTTCAACGCAGTGCCATGTCTGGCAGCTGACAGGAGCACAACACACATGACTCCTAGACGCGTGGAGACTCCAACACCCGGATGCCCGTGACTTTACATTTTACTCGATGCCTCACGGCACTTACTCGAAACTCAACAACTTCTTTCTTAATGGGGCAGGGATGTCCAAACTCACACACTCCGAGATAGGTAGCATCACTTTGTCAGACCACGCTGATGTCACGGTCACCCTTGATGGACTCAAATACTCCTCCAATTGGACATGGAGACTTAACACTAGCTTTCTTAAGAGTGAAAACATTTGTACAACAACGAGTGCAGTCATCACAGACTATTTCACACAAAATACCTTACACAAGGTGTATCCAGTAGCGATCTGGGCAGCTCACAAGGGACACTTCATTAAAGTGGTGACTCACAAAAAGAAATGCACTACCCACTTATTGTCTGGATCTGCTCTGCTCTATTCTGATGTCTGACTTGGCTTCTTGTATCCAGTACTCTTTTTACAATTCTTGTTTAGTATTTCCTGTTTTTTCTGGTTTTATATTCTATGTCTGGCTTTCTTTATGCTGGGTTTCTGGGTTAATTTTTATATTTCGTCCCTGGATTTCCCAGTGTGACGAGAGCAATCTCGCCACATTGCATTGGAGGAGCCTGGTTGCCCGCCTGCTCCCTTTAGACTATGGCCCCATGTTGAAACGCTTGATTTTCCCCTGCAAAGACACGAAAGCCGGGTCATTCGGTGCTTGCCCTGTTTGAGCGGTGATACCCCAGATAGCTATGCCATGGAGCATTCGTATAATGAAAGACTATGGGAAAGACTTTGGCTCCATGGCAATTGAAATGTATGTGTGTGATCTGAGTGCAGTAATAATGTGTGCTCAGATCTGAGCTATCTGGGGATATGTTGAATGTACCGGTTTTATGCAATGGCTGCACAGTTATATATTTTTATGTATTTTATTGTTTTTTGCTGCCATGTGTTCAATGGAGTTTTGCCTCTGTCCTTGGAGATAATTGGATTACTTCCCAATTATCTCCAGGATAGAAGACTCTGTGGAATTGGTTTTGGGCAGAAAAGCCATGCTTCATTTGGTCACAAAGGACTACGATCTATCTTTTGAACTACTGGACCAATTTGTAAGATTTTGATGTATGTTTGTATTTGGAGTATGCTGATTCTGAAAATGTAAGTTGTATGTGAATGTGGTGCATACTTTTAAATTATGAAAAATTTGGAAAAACTGTATATCTCTGCCTGTGATAATTACATTACCCATTGTGTAAGGTAATTGTATCACAGGCAGAGGGGAGGATTTTGTGTGGGAGTGTCTGAGTGTATTGTACGTGTTTATTTAGAAACATAGAAACATAGAATGTGACGGCAGATAAGAACCATTCGGCCCATCTAGTCTGCCCAATTTTCTAAATACTTTCATTTCTCCCTATTCTTATCTTATAGTTTTGATAGCCTTATGCCTACCCCATGCATGCTTAAACTCCTTTACTGTGTTATCCTCTACCACTTCAGCTGGAAGGCTATTCCATGCATCCTCTACCCTCTCAGTAAAGTAATACTTCCTGATATTATTTTTAAACCTTTGTCCCTCTAATTTAAGACTATGTCCTCTTGTTGTGGTAGTTTTTTTTTTATTTGTTGTTTTCTAAAACCCTGTGGGTGGTACTAATGTGTAAGAATGTGTATATAAGAATAAATAAACCCACAGCTCTGTCTGTTCCTGCTTGACCCTCAAAACGGAGCCTTGTCTCGTTCTTGGGGGGATTTATTGTATGCTGTTCCAGTTTGACTGCTAGGAGTGTAAACCTATTCGTATGTTTTTTCCTATTCAGCTGTTTACGGCATTCATATGGTTCCGGTTCTGCTGTTTACAGCATTCATATGGTTTCCTGTTCTGCAGATTGGTGTCTTTGGTAGCTGCCTGTGTATCTGGAAGGGGTATATCCTCTAAACGGCATTTAACCCATTTAACTGCCGTTACACCCAATCTCTTGGATCCATTTAAATGTTTGTTTTATTTGCCACACCCGTTTGTTTTCCATCATTCCTTTTGTTTCAGTGTCCTGCAGGCAGCTGCTCAAGGCTTCTGCCCTTTCTTGCAGGTAATTGCTATATATGTCTTCTTTGGTTGTTTTTAGCAAACATTAGGCAGTGTAGGACCTGCCAGATATGGGGTACATTGGCGTTGTTGGCAGGCTTATGCAATGTATGATCATATTATGTGACTAAATCCCCATGATTTTCATATATAGTGCTTAGTTATTTCTCCTCTTGTTTTGCCTATCTTACCTTCTCTTGTTTTAGTTTGTATACCCAGCCCATGTACAGTCCTGTCCAGTCATGCCCATGTTATGTTCATGTTTCCTTCATGTCTTGTGTAAATGTTCAGGGTTTAGCTTCCTATCCTTCTCCGGTTCTGGGTTCTCCTAGTGTTGTCTTGTTTTCAAGTTTGGTGCCTTTTCTAGCCTTATCTTGTTTCTAGTACTGGATACATCTCAGCATATGTCTGCTCTGGTTAACACTAAGCTGCTACCGGGTCTTGGTTTGTGGCCGCACAAACGCTGGTGCTCAACATCAGGGGACGTGCGGTTACCCTGCACCTGGCCCTACGTGTCAACTACCACACTGAAGACTCCGCTCATCTCCACATCAAGCACAGGGGCCCGGTCTACGGAGTGCCACCCTGACACTTATTAGTAGAGCTACAGGCTGCTTTAAGGAAGGCTGAACAGCAGCATAAAACGAACCCTACAGTGGAGAAGCTGACAGAGTTGAGCACCTTAAAGCACTCGATCAGGGAACTGTCTCTGAAGGGCATAGAAAGCTCCATTCAGTGGTCTAGGTGCATGTTTTATGAAAAATCCAATAAGATGGATTCCTTGCTAGCCAGAACCTTACGCCCAAGAGGTGATTTCAAACCAGTCCTTAAGAACCGCAGTCGAAAAGGTAGCTTAGTTTCAACCCCAGACAAAATAAATGAGGTGTTCACTCAATACTATTCGGAGCTGTACGGGCACTCCTGACATTTGCGGAATTCCGCTATGCAGGAACGGGTGGACTTTCAGTCCTCCCTGTCCGGGTTGACTTTGCCTGTGGTGACCGGAAAGGAGG